TTTTTTTTTTTAGAGAAAATACCATTTCTCCAGAAAATAATGTGTGTTTCTAGGGAACATTTCATCAGTATGTATCAAATGACTCTAAAATGGGGATACTGTTTGATCCATAATTTTGCTTCTAAGAATGCATCTAAAACAATTAGTCAAGAAATGTGAACAAGGGCATTCATTAAAATGTTAATAATAACAGAAATTTGGAATCAGCCTCAAGTCTTCTGATGTGGGAAAAAGCCAAACTTAGTTTCTCCCATACTCTTGCAAAACGGATCACTTTTTGCACCAGATGTTTCGGGTGTTCCTACTGTCTACCTGGAGATAGAGTCAGGTCCCACAGGTTGAGGGCACAGTCCCACAAGACTTCCCCCCACTTCGGAGGCCAGTACTTCTGACCATGCTGTGTACATTGGGATTCCCACAACCCCCTCCTCAGGGTTTGACAAATTTGCTGGAACAGTTCGCAGAACTCAGGAAAACACTCACTTAACGTTTACTAGTTTATCATAAAGGATATCACAAAAGATACTGATGAATGCCAGATGGAAGAGATGCATAGGGTGAGGTGTGTGGGCCTGGCTTCCATGCCCTCTCCTGCAGTTCCACCCTCCAGCCCCTTCACGTGTTCAGAAGCCCTCTGAACCCGGTCCTTCTGGGTGTTTATGGAGGCTTCTTTGCATAGGCATGATTGATTAAATCATCGGTCTTTGGTGATCAAGTTAATCTTCAGCCCTTCTCAAAGTCTCAACTCCCTAATCACAAAGGTTGATTCCCCTAACAGACAGGCCCCATCCTGAGGCTATTCAGTAGCTCCCAGTCATCAATCAACTCATTAGCATACAAAAAGACACTTTGGAGATTTCAAGGGTTTTAGGAGTTATATGCCCGGGAACAGAAGATGACCAAATGTATACTTCAAAATGTCACAAGTCCACAAAGAGGAGATAGGTAATCAGTGTTTCTCACCAGGAACACTTTGGCCCTTTGGACAGGCCAGTTTTTTATACACTGTGGAAAGTATAGCATCTCTGGCCCTAGGTACCAGACACTAGTAGCATCCCATCATTTTAATAACCAAAAGAATGACCTTACCTGCTCCATATGTATTCCCAAACCTCTCGTAAGAGATGTAAATACCACCAACCGCTGAAAACCACTGGATTAAACACATTTTGTAGTATCCACAAAATGGGTTTCTATTTTATCAGCATAATTTGGGGTTGGTGTTTTTTTGTTTTTTTAATTCTTTGGGGGAAGTTTTCAGTGATAAACACTTGAACAACAAGTGCAGGGTACAGAACAGTATATATAGTGTGATGTGTCCATTCAGTTCATTCAATAAATATTTATTTAAACATTTAAGGTATGTCCTGTTCCACATTCTGCTCAATGTGGGGAAATATTTGTACTCTCTATTTTTTATATATAAATAAATTGGTAATTTGTATTCAGATGTCCTTCAAAGCAATTACCTTGGCCAACAAATAAAAGTAATATATAATTCCTTCCCCCCAAGAGAAAATCATTTCTAAATAATTTTAGAATATATCTTGTATGTGTGATTTTTAATGTGTGTATTCATATCATATATAAATACATTTTATACAGAAAGTATAATGAGGAAGAAATATACTTTAAGAAAAAATGTTCAGCATTATCTTTAGTAGAATTTATTGCTAAGGTAATTTGCTTTGAAGGACAGATTTCAAATGTGTATGTACTGGCATATTTTAAAAATAAAATCAATTATAATGTTTCCATTTACAGGATATGTGATTGGATCTTTATATCTACCTGTTACATTCTTTCTGCTTCTCTTTTTTTTAAAACATAATGTTTGTGTTTTAGAGCAGTTTTACATTTACAGAAAAATTGTGCAGAAAGCACAGAGTTCCCATATATTCCCTACCCCCCATGCACAGTTTCCCCTGTTATTAACATCTTGCATTACTGTGGCACACATGATGAGCCAATATTGATGTATTAACTAAAGTTCATACTTTACATCTACCTTCACTCTATGTATTCTGTAGTTTGGCAAATCAATAATGTCATGTATCCACCATTGTAGTATCATACAGAATAGTTACACTGCCCTAAAAATCCTGTGCTCCACCTCTTCATCCCTTCTCCTTTCCCCTTGTCTTTTTGATAAAATGATTTCTTGTTCATTTTTTAATAGATCTTATACTTTCGTTTTACTCTTTGAATATTTCAAACATATGTATTATACAGATTTTGTCAAATTATACTATAAAATTAATATCATGTGGTGTGAATTTGGGTTCAATCATCGATTTCGTTGGTTGCCTTTTTTCACATTGCATGTTTTCATTTTTGGCATTTGGGTTTTGCAGGCTCATTTTGAGTGAAAGGGGTTTTGGTTTTGTTTCCTTTCCTGAAGCCCAGTCTACCCAGTCAACCTTCACTTCGAGCAGGGAGCCTGCTCTTACCCCCACCTCATGCAAAGCATTTCTGTCCCCTTTACTCTATAGAAACCGTTACTATTGTTTGGCTCCCACTTCTTAGTTCTGGGTCTGAAGCCTAACAGGCCTTTCATTTTATTTTAGCCCTGTTCACAGTTTTATGTCTCCATTCCACAGAGACACTTGTACCTTATTCAAGCATGACCATGTCTTTTCAGTCTTCTCTTTTTTATATTGTACTTTCATTGGTATGTTCTTGAACGGGGAGGGAGGATCAAAGTGTGTACCCACAACATCATCTTGACCATCTCGGGTTTCATAAAATCCATCTCATGGTGTTATAAACACACCGTGTAAATTAGGAAAATGAAATTCAATATTTACTTTCTTCCCTAGGAAGAGGTTTAGTCTCTTTAGATAGTGAAAGGCTGTTGAATAATTAGTTACGCCACTTACCTTCTTATTTACAAGACTGTCTAGACTTTAGATAGAGAATATAGACTCATTAAACCAGAACAGTTCAGGTTTATTGGTTATAATTTTTGTGATTTGATGTTTAAAATCTTCCTAAGATACTAATGTGATGACTGTTACTAACGTGCCATTGGTGCATGGGGGTAGTGGGGGCGAGTGCTACACAGAGGTGATAGTGTGCAGGGCATACTGCCATCTGTTGTTCAGATGTAGGTGGGCCTTATCTTTAGGCAAATCCTTGAAATAGTTTTGGGTTTTTTTCTTTCATAGACATCTACATGATGTCTCTGCTTTAGAATCCGTATAACTCCTATAGGGCCGGGGATTCGTATATATTATAATTTACAGCAGCCACTATCATTTTGCTACTAGGAAGCTACTCTGTGTCTCTAGAATTTAAATGAAAGTGCCATAATACCAAAAGTGGGGACAGAAGAATAAGTAGGGAACAGCATACAGGCTGCCTTTTAAGAATCAGTGTTTCGGGCCAGCCCGGTGGCACACTGCTACAGCGCGCCGCTTGGGAGCGTGGCGGCGCTCCCACCGAGGGTTCAGATCCCACATACAGACCGGCCGCTCACTGGCTGAGCGAGGTGCGGGAACACCGAGGGTTGCGATCCCGTTGCCGGTCCCGGTCCGGTACGGGCACGACACTGAGGGTTGCGATCCGTTGTCGGTCATGAAAAAAGACAAAAAGGAAAAAAAAAAAAGAATCAGTGTTTCATTTGTTTTCTCCTTTTATCTACTGTTCTTCATAGGAATAAGAGATTCTCAAGGGTCTCTCTCTCTCTCTCTCTCTCTCTCCCCCCGAAGCTTTAATGCCTAGAATGCCTTCAAATGTTTAGCAGTTTTTGAAGGAATGATTTCAACTTTGAATATAGCTCTAAGGTCAATCAGATAATTTTTTTTTTCTTTAAGGAGGGAAAAAAAATCAATGCAAGCCTCTGTAGAAAGCTCTTTAAGAGAAAAGTGGGTTATCTAAATTATTGTCCTGAGAGACGACAAAATTAAGGAAGAGAAATTATTATGAAGAAAATGTTTTTGGAACATTTTTGGTATTTTTAATTATTGTAGGAATTAATAACTGTCTCAGATTTTAAGAAGTATTCTTGGTCATAACTGAGACTTACTTACACCAAGTTTGTTCGTGGATGCCAGTCAGAATGGTTTTTCCCTGGAGAAATACAGTTTGCTTTAATCATCATTTCCAGGAATAAGTTGTAGTACTGCGTAGCAGAGGTGTATCTAAAAAGTACGTGAAGAAAAGTACAGATTTTAATTTATGGCAAAATCTCTATTGAGAAAATAATGTGTTATATTGCCAACCTCTCCCTGCAGTTAAATTTTAGACATAGGAGCATAATAAACAAGGCACATCTGTCTCACATTCTGCTTTGTGCTAGTCAGATCACATTTGGAGTCTCACATTTAGTTGTTTAGTTCATGCTGAGTCTCACTGTAAGGACACGGAACAAGAGTAGCTAGAAGAAGGCAGCCAGAGGGTGAGGCTACTTGAGATCACATCGTAGTGAGGCTACTTGAGATCACATTGTGAGCAGCCACTGGAATAGACAGGACAGGACAAGGACACACCGGGAGGAACATTCTTTCTAGGCACTTGCTCACCTTCCTGTCAGATCTCCTTTGAGAAAACCAGCATCCTCCTAGTTGTTGTTATGTAATCTTTATTTTCTATTTCTAATTGCTTTTATTGGGTTTAANGCAACACCGAGGGTTGCGATCCCGTTGCCGGTCCCGGTCCGGGCACGACACTGAGGGTTGCAATCCGTTGTCGGTCATGAAAAAAGACAAAAAGGAAAAAAAAAAAAGAATCAGTGTTTCATTTGTTTTCTCCTTTTATCTACTGTTCTTCATAGGAATAAGAGATTCTCAAGGGTCTCTCTCTCTCTCTCTCTCTCTCCCCGAAGCTTTAATGCCTAGAATGCCTTCAAATGTTTAGCAGTTTTTGGAGGAATGATTTCAACTTTGAATATAGCTCTAAGGTCAATCAGATAATTTTTTTTTTTCTTTAAGGAGGGAAAAAAAATCAATGCAAGCCTCTGTAGAAAGCTCTTTAAGAGAAAAGTGGGTTATCTAAATTATTGTCCTGAGAGACGACAAAATTAAGGAAGAGAAATTATTATGAAGAAAATGTTTTTGGAACATTTTTGGTATTTTTAATTATTGTAGAAATTAATAACTGTCTCAGATTTTAAGAAGTATTCTTGGTCATAACTGAGACTTACTTACACCAAGTTTGTTCGTGGATGCCAGTCACAATGGTTTTTCCCTGGAGAAATACAGTTTGCTTTAATCATCATTTCCAGAAATAAGTTGTAGTACTGCGTAGCAGAGGTGTATCTAAAAAGTACGTGAAGAAAAGTACAGATTTTAATATATGGCAAAATCTCTATTGAGAAAATAATGTGTTATATTACCTCTCCCTGCAGTTAAATTTTAGACATAGGAGCATAATAAACAAGGCACATCTGTCTCACATTCTGCTTTGTGCTAGTCAGATCACATTTGGAGTCTCACATTTAGTTGTTTAGTTCATGCTGAGTCTCACTGTAAGGACACGGAACAAGAGTAGCTAGAAGAAGGCAGCCAGAGGGTGAGGCTACTTGAGATCACATCGTGAGCAGCCACTGGAATAGACAGGACAGGACAAGGACACACCGGGAGGAACATTCTTTCTAGACACTTGCTCACCTTCCTGTCAGATCTCCTTTGAGAAAACTAGCAGCCTCCTAGTTGTTGTTATGTAATCTTTATTTTCTATTTCTAATTGCTTTTATTGGGTTTAAGATATACTAAGAAAACTCTTGTTTGAAATTACTGAAACTCTCACACAGGCTGAACTACTGAGCTACTTAGACAAGGGGAGTTAATGTAACATTTTCTGGCTAGGTCATGCACTTACCTAATTCTAACCATAGTCTTGTATTGTCTGTAATTGACAACAGGAAGAGCTGAAGAGAGACCTGAAAATTAAGAAAGAAAAAGACCTGGTGCAGGTGGTGCAGGCCACAACAGTAGCTGTACCCCCACCCCCAGTTGCGGCAGCACCTCCAGCGCCTCCACCTTCGCCTCCCCCTGCACCAGCTGTGCAGCACACAGGCCTCTTGTCCACGCCCGTGTTACCTGCAGCTTCCCAGAAGAGGAAGAGAGAAGAGGAAAAAGACTCCAGCTCAAAATCCAAGAAGAAGAAAATGATCTCTACTACCTCAAAGGAAACTAAGAAGGACACAAAGCTTTACTGTATCTGTAAAACGCCTTATGATGAATCTAAGTGAGTAGATCTTTTAGAGCTCTAGTTTATTTTCTTAAAAGTTTAGCTCTTAAAGTTGAAAGTTTTGAAGAAAATGAGTATATTGGTAGCAATAGAAATGAAAATAGTTAAACTTAAGGATAGTAATATTTCCTCTATGGTCTCTCATCTGATATTCTTAACCTTGACACTAGTAAAGTATAATTTGCTATTTCACATGTTCATGATTCTTGTTTGTCCTTTATTATATTCTTTTCTGTCAAAAACAAGCTTTCTGTTGCTCCTTTGCTTTCTCCTCTTCTCTCTGAATTAACTACAAATCAATCAATAGTGCTGTCTGGAGAAAGAGGTGTATTATCATTGCCCAAAATTGAGAACATTTTTTCTGGGATCTGCTCAAAGACCTGTGGCTACTTCAGATCCTGGAAATTATGTGAATATGAATGGTATAAGAAGTTTCGAATTTGAGTGATTTGGCTTTTTTATTGTTTTATTTTAAGCAATTCTCTGTTTTTTTGTATTGGAATACTGCAACTTAATGTTTCTGTCAACGTTCCCACTTTCTTACTGGGGACAGAAGCCAGAAAAATACAAAAAGTGTTCCTTTCACCCATTCCTCAAGTGAGACAGTCAAAAATTTGATAAGTATGCAGCTGGAAGCTGTTTTTGACAGTTCTGACTTTTATTTGGTGATATAAACAAGATTTTTGATTCACTAAACCATAAATGTAGTTTCACTTTTTGGTCATTGCTGTCATTCTGCTAAGTATTTAGTTTCTGTTTTGAACATTAAAATGTAGGTCAGCTTTTTAAAGATACAATTAACCATAATATTTTTTATAGTACCACAAAGTTTCATTGTGTTTAAAAAAAAAAAAGATTTAGAATTAGCAATGCTTAATGTCTGCCTTAAGTGGATGTCTAATCAATTCATAATATGAAATTGTGGTCTCTTAATGATGTTTAATTTGCAACATTGAAGCTGCTCTGGTGCACTAAATTATAATTTGTTTGCAAGTGCCAGATGAAAACTTTCTGTTGGTCAGTTTAGCCGTGTGTTGGATTAAACACAGATCAGTTTAGGCACCTCACTTTTCACTGTTTCATCTCGTTGGAGGTTCTACATAATGTAAAACATGGAATCCCGCTCACTGATTTTGTTCCCTTAGTCTGATACAAGTGTGCCTCACTTTAAGCAAAATATACCAGTGATTTCAGAAACAAAACAACATGACTGGCTTTCTTTACAAAAAGATCTGCTTATGGAATTTCTTTAAAAAAGGCTTCTTTGGCCTATTTAGATGACAGAAATTCATTTCACACACAACTTTTTGGACTCCCTAAATTGCATGAATTGAGGTACACATGTACATGTGCTCATTCTTTTGAGATTGCCTCATTTTGTGGCTATTTCATATTTTTCAGTTTGTCATTATTGACATTTCAGTATTACCAGGTTCATTCACACCCTGTTCTTGTTGGGATGAGTTAGCATTTCTTAGCAGTGTTTTGTAATCTCTTGTACCAAACTAGGCTGGTTTGGGACTCTAGTGAGAGTGACTAAAAATTGAAATTCAAGTCCTGAACTTATTTCCAGAACATATAGCCCACCACACTGTGGAGGCAACATACAAAAATACATCAGGAGACCCCCCCCACCTGTGGCAGTGAAAATCACGTGAGAGTCATAGTTCAAAAGAAAAAAGTTAGTGGTAGGATAAACCACATAGCCATGTATCATTTCTTCGCTGTGATGGAGCAGGTCAGTTTGAAGCTTGAGTACTACCTCCGTTCCTCTAGATGAACCTACCAAGAAATGCTTTGGTAGAACTAAGCGTGCTGATAGTATCAGCAAGGCCAACCTAATTCCCTGTGATTCAAGTGAATTCTTGCTATGACTTTGACATGGTTTTCCTCCACAGCATCTGTTGACACTTTTAGGTACACTGTATATGTGTTTATACTTTTCATTTTCTCATTAGGGGTCTCATACAAAAGCTTTGAGGGTTAACTGTATGTGGTCACCCACGATTACATACTAGTATAGCCCCACCTTGCCAGATACTGTAGAGAACAAATATTGTAGCGGTAACTATCCTTACATTGTTCTCTGCGCCACGTAGCCCTGATTTTGAATTGAACCAGCCCCTTAGAGTTCCTTTCCAGTGACTTACCAGGTCACTCCACATTGTCATACATATGGTGTGAACTGAAAAACTGGCCCATGTCATCTGTTATGAGAGGCAGTTTTTATTTAGATTAAATTCCAGTGTTTATTTACAAAACTTGGTAGAAACTGAATTACTACGTGTATCTTAGTTTTCTTCTTCATGTCATATTTTGACCATCTACCTTCTACACCTGGCTGATCTGCATGTTCCTTGTAGTGCAACTTCTACTTGGTGTTTGCGCTTTGCTTTGTTTTCAAATTTAAATTGTGAGATACATTCTCAAACCTATCTAAGAAATAGCCCTGATATTGAAATGGCTTCTGTGGAATAGGTTTGACAGATGTAAGTCTTTGATTCTTTGGCTTTGGTTTTTGTGCCTGTTACAGTTTTACACACATTCATTAAGAGGAAGACATCACCATCAGTGTGTGGTTTATTTTTTCAAATTCCAGTATGTTTTTAAAGACCCATATTTCACTAAACAGTGTATATGTTGAAATTGATGTGAGTGACTTTATGTTTCCACACTTGACACAGTGTCAGACGCTGTAGTTTGCCAGGGTTAGAATGGTTGGATTCAGGATGTTTAGCTGACTCCTTGCAGAAAATTATCCTGTAAGAAAGTGAATCAAGGCAGGGAAGACAGATTTAAGTATAGTACCATGCAGCTCAAAATGACAATTACATTGTCATTTTCATTGTGAATACTTTTAGGTTCTATATTGGCTGTGATCTTTGTACTAACTGGTATCATGGAGAATGTGTTGGCATCACAGAAAAGGAGGCTAAGAAAATGGATGTGTACATCTGTAATGATTGTAAACGGGCACAAGAGGGCAGCAGTGAGGAATTGTACTGTATCTGCAGAACACCTTATGATGAGTCACAGTGAGTTCTGATAAGAGCATCATACTTAATAATCTAGGAAGCCAAATTGCTCTGACTGGTTACTTATTTATTTTAAAATAAAAAGCAAGATATTTTTTCTGCATATATTATACACTTACATTACAAATTCCTTTCCGATTTTTTTCTCTTTTTTCCCCTCTTTACCTCCCCTTCAAAATTTATGTTGCTTCACAGTGAATGTTTGAGACGCATTGGGAAAATGTGGTTTAATTGTAGATTTGATTCTTCAATGTGTAACATAGAAATTAATTAGATTAAAATAGCCTGCCTTGTTTGGACTTTATCAGTGTTTGAAATGGCGCTTCATTGTAGGTTAGAAAAACACTAATTTGTGTATAAGCTCTGAGACTCTGTTTTTAGCTTATAGGATTTTCAAGTCCCATTTCATTTGATATGGTACTAGTTGAAAGATTTTGGGCTTTGTTTTCAGCTTTAAAATGAATTAAATGTTTTACATTTTTCTTCAAATTGTTTCTCCAGTATTACAGTGTTCTTAATAAACTTTTACTGCTTGTTCTTAACATCAAAAATATTAAATTAACACATTGGAATGTCAATTTCAAGAGTATTAAAACAACCATAATACTAAAACCATTTTATATCCCAGGGTTTAGCAAATTTTCAGGTGCATGTTTTATTATTTTTAAAAGTAAACTATATGTGATGTTATCCTATCTGTTTTGAACTCACACTTCTGTTTTGGATCTTGCAGATTTTATATTGGCTGTGATCGGTGTCAGAATTGGTACCATGGGCGCTGCGTTGGCATCTTGCAAAGTGAGGCAGAGCTCATTGATGAGTATGTCTGTCCACAGTGCCAGTCAACAGAGGATGCCATGACAGTGCTCACGCCACTAACGGAGAAAGATTATGAGGGGTTGAAGAGGGTGCTGCGTTCCTTACAGGTGAGAAACACTCTGTGCACAGCACTGGAGAATGAAAGCAACTGGCATGACTTTGGAAACATTTCTAGGGCTTGAACTTTCCAATCTTAAAGTGCATGATTATTTACTGACTCCCAGCTAGTCTGGTGAAGCGCTCAGGAAACTTCAGTCCTTCGCATGCTGATGTCATGAGGGTTTACCTCATTCACACACCACCTCAACTGTTGTTTATCTAACACTCTTGCTTAAAATGACTCACTTTTTTAACTTAAATTTTATTTTTAAAGAAAACTTTATCTCACCACCATAGATTGAAAAACAGTTTGATTAAATTCTGATGAGATACAGATGCTTGTCTAATGCTTTGGGCCAAAGCCTTCCCTTCCTTATTAAAAATAAAAAGGGGACAGGGATGGTTTGCAGGATTATTAGCAAGTGATAGAGATATATTCAAGAGAGAGAGCACTAGATTGAATCTTTCCCCTGTTGTAAGCATAATCACAAGAATTTGAAAGAACTGAAAAGAGAATTCTAGTCTTGATGTGTAATCAAATGTTATTTAACATCATGTCTCTTTCACTTCATTAACCAGCAGTGGTAACCATTCCACACTTTGAACCCATCCCTCCCCAAATTCACAGAAGTGATTTCAATGCCAACATCAGTCAGTTGGCAGGTAATCATGTAGGGACCAGAGTACAGATTTCATGACTCCAGGTCGGCCCCATGGCTCACTCGGGAGAGTGCGGCGCTGGTAGCACCAAGGCCGCGGGTTCGGATCCTATATAGGTATGGCCGGTGCACTCACTGGCTGAGCGCGGTGCAGACCGCACCGTGCCGAGGGTTGCAATCCCCTTACCGGTCAAAAAAGAAAGATTTCATGACTCCTAAGCTAGTGCCCCACTCCCACCCCACCCCCGACCACCACCAAGGTCTTCAGATACACCTTTGAGAACCATTATTATAGTGCATGCTTATCTTAAGTAATTTGTGATCAGAGCAAAAATCATCTAGTATAAATGACTTCATCTGTCAAGTTTAAAACTGACTTTTGGAGTAGTAACTCATTTGAGAAAATGGAATTAGTGTTTCCACCTGACAATAATGATGCCTGTTTTTTCATTTGTAGGCCCATAAGATGGCCTGGCCTTTCCTTGAGCCAGTAGACCCTAATGATGCACCGGATTATTATGGTGTTATTAAGGAACCTATGGGTAAGTACTTGAGTTGAATATGAAGTGTTTTCAGAAGTCTCAGCATATATTTTATCACCCATAAAAGTGATATATCATGAGGGTATCTTGAGCAAGGCTGGCGGGAGTGTAAATTGGTATGGTCACTTGGTGAGTAAATTTGGGGTATCTATTAAAGCTTAAATGTGCATACCCTTGAACTCAGCAATTTCATTTTTTAGTATTTACATGTATACAAGTATGCTGTTCATTGCAGCAGTGCTTATAATCGCAAACACTGGAAATGAAATAGCCATCAGTAGAAGAGTAGCTGAATCAAATATGTGAGCAGAGTATCATGCAGCTGTATAAAAGAATGAATGAAGTCAGTGGATGAAAGAGTTGTGTTTCAGAAGCCAGCTACACACTTTCTAAATGGGAAGGGTTTATGTTTGATGGCAGCTTCAAAGAGGGGGAAACATGGAGAGGACATAAATGAGAACTTAGTTAAAACTATTCCTGAAAAACAAACATAAATAAGTAGTTGTGACCTCCGTTCTCCTGATGTTGAAGGTAGAAGGAGTTAATCATTGTATTTCAGATTTGTGTAGTCTCCTTTGAGAAAGTTCCTGAGGGTGTTTATTAAAATAAGTTAATAAATTAATTCTGCTGATAAAAATAATACAAGTTAATTATAGAAAATGTAGGAAGTAAGGAAAAAAACAAGATAAAAGTTACCTTTCACTTCTTCCTCACTGAATCAGAAAGCCATCTGTGTAGGAGACAGCGATTATGTGTGGTGTGTTCTTATGTGCACGTGTGTTTAATTGAAGTCACGGAGTGAATGCAAACATTTTCCTGTGTCAGTCATCTTCAGAAACATGATTTTAATGGGTTTTTATGGTCTGTTAATTGAAAATACCTTTATTTGTTTAACCAAAACTCTTTTCCTGAAGCACTAGACTGTTTTTCTGTTTTCATTTTGTTTTTGCTGTCTGTATCAAGGTAAACATCATCTTATGTAAGTAGGTACATAAAGATAATATAGATCTTGAAAAGATGTTGAAAAAACAAAATGAAAATTACAGAACAGTACCTAGGTTTTCAGCAGTAAATAACTATATATTTTCTAAGAGTACATAAATTTGTTTTAAAATGCATAGAAAGTGTTTGGAATGATATACACTAAGTTGGAAACAGCAGTTTCCTTTGGGGATATAAGGTATTATCTTTTATTTTCTTAAGCAGAAATAGATTTATATGAATTACCATGTTTTATAACGTACTTTGTAATACCTTTTTCACATCAGCTTTGTTATAGACCTACATCTTTTTTTTTTTTTTCTTTTTTTCCTTTTTGTCTTTTTTCGTGACCGGCAACAGATCGCAACCCTCAGTGTCGCGCCCGTACCGGACCGGGACCGGCAACGGGATCGCAACCCTCGGTGTTGCGCCCGCACCTCGCTCAGCCAGTGAGCGGTCGGTCTGTATGTGGGATCCGAACCCTCGGCAGGAGCGCCGCCGCGTTCCCAAGCGGCGCACTGTAGCAGTGCGCCACCGGGCCGGCCCGACCTACATCTTTTTTAATTGTATGGAATTAAAATTATTTAACCACCCCCCGAGTAATAGATTTTTCAGCTATGTGCAGTTTTTGCTAATATAAACCTCATGTCAATGAACATATTTGTTCATGTTTCTGCCTGTACTTGTTTGTTTTCTTAGGAAAAATTCCTGGAATTAGAATTTCTGGGTTACAAGGTATATATACTTTTTAGGCTTTTAAGAAATATTCTTATTACACTTCAACCAGTTTCTTCTACTCATAGTATATATCTGCAGACGTCTTTCTGCACTCTTGAGAACTATTGGATATTATCACTCTTTTCAGGGAAATATTTTTTATCCTTGAAAATATTTATTTCAAAAATAATACATTTGGTGTACCAATGCAGATGTGACAGAAAATGGAGAATGAAATGTAAAATTTACCACCACTCTCATATTGTCCCCTAGAGGTAATCTTTTTTTAATAGACTGATGAAGTTTTGTGGTGATTTTTTTTGGCATACAGTAACTTATAACATTTTTTGGATTCACATCTATTATTATGAATTTGGCCTTTGGTGTCATGATGGTAGTTTTTTTTCTCTATCCCAATATGTACAAATACCTATATGTTATAGTCATTTTTTAAAGGGATACCTAGTTAAGTTGGAACCATAAAATGTCCAACTACTGCTCACATATTTTATTAAACTTAGTCAAGCATTAAGTACCTAGAACTTGAAATAAGTATGAAATGATAATATCCTGGTGTAATGTGTTAAGCATTCATTTTTTCCTGTTCAGCTTCCATGAACCTGTACAGAATAGATGTGCCCAAGTCTTGTTGGGAATTTAGTTAACCTAGTGCATTTTTACAGTTCTTGTTTACATGATTTTTTCCCTGTCCACAGAAACTGGAGCTTTCAAAGACTAATTTTTGTGTATGCATACTAAAATACTAAGATATAACAGAATTTGCTATTTCAACCATTTTTATATATACATTTCAGTGATTACATTTACATTGTTGGGTCTTCTGGTATTTTTTATGGTCTTAATTTTTGCCCTTAAATGTTAATCCATCTAGAATTATTTTGACATATGGTGGGAGATAGAGTTTTTTCTTCAGATATGTAGGCAGTTCCCCCATCCTATTAATTAATGAATCCTTCCTTCCCCTGCCGATGGGAAATGACATCCTACACATAGATGAGATTCACATGCTGCATACAGTTCTCTGTTGCAGTTTTGACCTCAGTTCCATCAGTGTTTGTAAGTCCTGCATGGTGCCACACTTTTCATTATCAGCTTTATGATAGCTTTTTAATGGCTGACAGATTAAATCTTTCCCATTACTTTTATTTTTCAAAAGTTGCTTAGGTATTTTTGAACTTTTATTTTTTTGGATGAATCATTTTTTGAAATTTAGAAATCATGGGTGGGAGAGGGGAGAGGGAGGAGGGAGGGAGGTTTCGGTGATGGGCCATAATAACCAACCACATTGTATATTGACGAAATAAAAATTAAAAAAAAGAAAGAAAAGAAAAGAAATTTAGAAATCATCACTGATCTTTAATTTGGATCTGTGTTACTTTTCTGTCAGTCCTAGATTGATTAGAGATCACTGGCCTTTCACTCTCCTAGATTTTTCTATAAAATTGTGTGCTGAACTTTCTTCAAACACAGCATTCTTCAGGAGCTAATTTTATTCAGCAGTTACCTGTACTGCCAGAGAAAAACAACCTGTATTTCTTCTGCTCTCACACCACAACAATCAATACAGAAGACTTCTGTGACCTCTGCTCACCAAGAACAGTGTAGGGATTTCTCCACACCAACAACCAATCAATCAGTTCTGCAGCAGACACCAGCTGAGTGTCCTGCAATTCAATTCAATTCCAGCCCTGTACCTGGAGATAGTGTCGGATCCCACAGGTTGAAGGCTCAGTCCCACAACACTGTCCCCCATTTCCAAGGCTTTTTAAAATTCAAAAAACATTTATCAAATGAATGCTTACAGAATGCAGGATGCTATCGTAAATACCATGGGCATGTAAAAGGTAGTAAGAGCTTTTTCCCCTTGAGTTTACATCCTAATTAGGAGATAAAGAAATGTAAAAATGACTGTTCTATAGGGTAGAGTGAGGCTACAGGATGGAGGGTTTAAGCACTATCTCCTTAATTTTTTTGCTAGATCTTTGAAGTCATAAAATGTTTTATTTTTCCGGATATTTTTTCTATGAGCAAAGCTAGACTTTAAGTCTACAAACCTTTTCTCTGAACCTCTAGTAACATAAACACATTGAGCAACTTTTCATGAAGTTGGGTTACCTTCATGCCCTTCTGTTTCTGAACCTCAGCTCCCTTCTTAGGCTCATGGTTTTCTTCCTTCCAAAATGTATAGCAGAAAAATAGATTCCAGAGAAAACAGAAGAGGACTTTTTAAGGATGGATTTCCCTTTCCAATAGTAGCTGCCACCACTCTGTAGCTCTTGAGATGCATTATTCACAGTCCCTCATCCACCAGCCCTCAAACTCGACTACCCCAGATATTCAGATTGGGTAGACCTTGGCTGGGTTGGGGCCTGGGCATCTGTATATTATCTAATGGACTCCTAAGGAACTTCTAAGGGACTCTGCATACCATAGTGTAAGAATCAACACTCTACTTAGTAATTTTCCTTTGAAGAAAATGTATGGGGTGTTTTGTCTCTCTCCTTTTCCTGTAGCAAGGTAGATGGTTACCAAGTATTTTAGAGTCTGTTTTACATAAAATAAAAGTGACGGACAAGCCCAGCTGAAGTATCCAATTACCTTATCAGCAAAAGAATCAAAAACTATAGGCAAGGAAGAACAGTAGGCAGGAAGGCTATAGACCAAGAAACTGTACAAAATCTCTAAAACTTTCCCATTTTTACTATCCCCTGTCAACCCATTAGCAGTAAACTTAATATGTAAGGGGACTTCATATGACAGGGGCCTCTGGAAAATAACAATAAAATAATAAAGGAATAAAAAGAGATAAACTCACAGTAGTGAAAAGAATATGATAGAAGCCAGCTAGTTGATGAGATTTCAGCAATCTCCAGAATATAAATTCTGGAATATAGGAAGCAGATAGAAGAGGATTAAGTCATGAAGCCAGGCAAACTATAGTGCAGAATCCTCCTAGAGGACTCTTCAGCAAAAGTGACAGCTTGCTTACTGACTACTAGAACCCCAGAGAGCATCATCCAAACATGGAGATTCCAAAATATATTAAAATGCAAAAAAAAAAAAAAAAAGGAAAAGAGGGATTAACTGAAGATCTATGTATATGGGTTTGGAGGTGGTACCGGCACCTAATAGGTAGAGGCCAGAGATATTTCTAAACATCCTGCAATGCACAGGACAGTTGCCCACCACAAAGAATGATCCAACCCCAAAATGTTAATAGTACTGACGCTGAGAATCCCTTGTTTCTTGTCTAAAGCAAAACTTGCCAGTGGGTAAGCCCCATGCACACGGCCCTCCAGTCACATATGCAGTCCATTAACTGACCCTTCTGAAGTATTTACAGACACCTAGGGATGGCCAGACATGTAAGGAAAGCCTGCAGTGTGAAAGAGAAAAATCAAGATGTAGTAGAAAAATAGATTCCAGAGAAAAGAGAACTTTTTAAAAAACAAAACAAATCTCTTAATCATGTCCTCAGAGAAATTTTAGAAGACATTCCATCTATAAAATAGTGAACAGGATATTAGGAGTAAAGAACAATCTGAGAACAAGAAAGTGATTGGAAAAAACATAAACTTGTTGCAAGCAGTAAAAGTTAAAATCAAGAAACTCTCTCCATATAAAGAACAAAAAGACAAGGAGATGAAAAATATGAAAGAAAAAATACATTATAGAGTATCCAATATTCACTTGATGGAAATTCTATAAAGAAAAAACAGAGAAGACAGAGGAGAGGAAATTGTCAAAAGAATAATATAACAAAAATTCCCTGAGCTGAGGAAAGGCACAAGACTTTAAGTCCAAACAGGACAAATTCATTGATTCAGCAAATGGCTATTGAGAGCCTGCTGTTTGACATTGGGAATTTAGCAGTAAAGCCCCTGCTGTGTGTGGAGCTTATGTGGAGGACTGGGAGGGTAGGGAGAGCAGTTAATAAACAAACATAATAAACCAGGTATGGAAATATATCCATCCTCGTATATATCACTGTAAAATTTCCAAATGCCAAGAATAAAAAGTTCTCTGAGAGCTTTTATCCTCTTTTGAGGATAAAACAATCTGTAAAATAATAAGAATTAGACTGGTATCAGACTTTTCTATTGCAACATGGAATGCTAGAAGATTATGGAAGAATAAAACCAAAAGTTTGAGGAAAAATGATTTCAGCCTAGAAGTCCAGCCAGACAATCAAGTGTAGAGGCAGAATAAATACATTTTCAGTCATGTACGGACTTAGAAAGGGCATCCTTTCTTGGCAAGTTACTTTAAGATGTGTGCTAGCAAAAATAAGGATGCAAATTAAGCAAAAAAGACCTTGGGTCCAGGAAACAGGAGGTTCAAGAAAGCAATGAGAATTACTGTGAACCAGGGTAGCATTTGTACAGGAGGCCTATGCAGCAAGCAGTCTACATTGGAACAGGAGAATGGAGCTCTCCCATGAGGGTGGTTTCTGGGGAAAGAAAATGATTCATACATTAGATAATTTGTTTAAGATAGAAAAACATAAGGCTATGATTAAGCCAAAGAATGTAAGGGATAAAAATGAAAGGCAATTAGAAACTCCATGAAAAACAAGAAGTTGTATAAGAATGCCCTCTTAGCAGAGGACTAGGTGCTACAGGGAAAAATATTTACGTAGTCATAGTAATATTTTGGGTTTTGTTTTTGTTTCTGTTTTGTTCTTGTTTTGCAGCTGGCTGGTATGTGGATCGAAACCTTGACCTTAGTATTATAACATCATGCTCTAACCAACTGAGCTAACTAGCCAGCCCTATAATAATGTTAATACTACATTGATTTTCAACTTTTAGACTCAGCCTATAGACAAAGCATGGAAATATATAATTTTAAACTATAGGGAAATAAAACTTAGACTCAAAGAGGGAGGTAGGGAAATGGTTAAGTTGGCTCAGTTCTCATTTGTCGTAGCAGGGTGTAAACAAAATTAATTTGGTAAAATAAGAAATAGTATTTTAAAAAATCTATTCCAGGGCCGGCCCGTGGCTCACTCGGGAGAGTGCGGTGCTGATAACACCAAGGCCCCAGGTTCGGATCCCATATAGGGATGGCCGGTTTGCTCGCTGGCTGAGCGTGGTGCTGACAACACCAAGTCAAGGGTTAAGATCCCCTTACCAGTCATCTTTTTTAAAAAAAAAAAAAAATCTATTCCAAAGAACTGAGAGGTGAAAGTGATTGATCCTAGGGAGCCTGGACTTCAGGTGGAGTAAAGGTAGGACAAAGGAGTACAACTTCTTCTTATAAGCCTCTCTGTGCTTTCTGATCTGTACCTCGTGCATTTTTTCCTCCAATTAAATATCTAAAATTGCTAGTTTTAAACTGGAAAGGCCTTTGACAGTAACTGGGAGGTAGCAGCGTTGCCAGGCTTGCAAGCAGAGCCCCAAGGATGAGTGGTGGCAGCTGCTGATGAGGGAGAGGAAAGCACCTCATGTTCCTGGGGCCTGTGGCAAAAAACAAAGGAATCTGGGAAAGGAAAAAGGGAGGGTCTGTGCTGCAAAGGTGCCCACCTGGTTATTTTATGTAGCTTTTTATATTCTGAAGGTTACATAATTTTCATTAAAGAACATAGCTGAATTGAGAAGTTTGCTCAATTCTGCTTAAATAAATAAATTGCAATATGAAGAGG